GGGGGGGGGGGGGTAGGCTGGAGAGGGCCACAGAGGGGATAAATGGGGGATATCTGTAATAGAATCAACCATGAAAAAATATATATACATTTGAAATATAACCATAATACCATATCTTACCTAAAAATATTAACAATAATTTGTAATGTCATCTAAATATCTAGTCAACACTGACATTTCCAATTGGCTCATAAATGTCAGATTTTCTTTTTAAAGTTTGAATTAAGATTTAAATAAGGTCCACATATTGTGATTTGTTGGTATCTACCTTAGTAACATTTTATTGTTGTTTAATAGCATTAAACCTATCACTCTCTCTGATTTCATTTACATTTCTACTTTTCTGCAAGTCTGGTGCACAGAACAAATAAGTCATAATCCTTGTATGATATATAGTCATCAGGGGTTCCTACATATCTGTTTGTTCACTCACTCATTCATTTGGGGGAGTGGGGGGGTGGATAATGACAGTGTTCCAGAATTAGATAGTGGTGATTGTTTTACAGATTTGTAAATATACTGAAAATCACTTAATTTTATACTTGAAAGTGGTGAATTTTATGGGATGTGAATTACATCTCAATAAAAAATATTTAAATCTAACCATCAGTCTAATTGTGAGAGAACATTAGACAAATTCAAATTGAAGGACATTCTACAAAATAATTGGTAGAGTATGCCAGTACTTCTCAAGTGTCACAATTTTGAAAGTAAAAAATAAAAGTCTTAGGACCTACCTCAGATTGGAAGAACCCAAGGAAACATGAGAACTAAATATTTTTGTTTGTAGTTGTCTGTTTTGAAATTGTAACAAGCCCCTCTGAACTCTCAGTCCAACAAGAAAGCTGAGACCTTGGCAGTAATTTACGTTAGCTCCACAGTTCTTCCCTGCCCATCTCTCTGCCTCACCATAATGTAATGATGAGCACCTTGAATCCTACGTTCATTGCTTTTTTTGCTTTTCTTTTTATATACTTTTCTTTCAACCAAATACATTCCTTCAAAATTAAATTATTTTACTTTTTAATTTTATATAAAGTTTATCATGTTGTACTTAAATTTCTAGTGCTTATTTTGAACATACCGTATTCCTAAGTTACTCATATTGTTGTATGCCAGGTGTGAATATAACAGTTTATTCATCTGCTCTCCTGTTGATAAGCATTTGGTTTGTTTCCAGGGTTTTGCAACTGTGAATTGTTCCTTCTGATTTTAATATTTTTTTATTAAAATATAATATCCCAGCTCTGGCCAGTGTTACTCAGTGGTTACAGTGTCTGCCTGTGCACTGATGGGTCACGGGTTCGATTCCTGGTCAGGGACACATACCTGGGTTGCAGGTTCCATATCCCAGGCCGGTCAGGGCACGTGCAAGAAGCAGCCAGTCGATGTGTGTGTCTCACATCGAAGTTTCTTTCTCTTTCTCCCCTCCTCCCTCCCTCCCTTCCACTCTCTCTAAAGATCAGTGGAGAAAATATCCTCAAGTAGGATTAACAGCAACCACAAAAATAATAATATCCTAACTTGTTTTCATTGAGAAAAGAGTCCACTGAAAATATTAGTCAGGGTAGAATGGGTGAGACAACTAAGCCTCTCAGCCAGAGCCCTCTAAAATACGGCCTTGATCAAGTTCTCTATATTTTGATCAGTAGGAGTTTACTGATACAGTATTTGAGAGTTTTGTTGAGTATTTCAGCAATGAGAGTGAAATATTACTCTGATCCCAGCAAGAAAATTCAGAGACTTATTTTTACTGATTTAAACGAAATGGGGAAGTTAATTTGGAATTTCTGCACATTCTGACCTTATTTTGAATTTTTATTAGACATATTTTCAGAAGAGCAATTGCTTATAAATATGAATATCCATAAAAAGATACGCCAATCAAAAATTTAATCTTGACCATTTTTTTATTATTTTATTTTATTTTATTTTATTTTATTTTATTTTATTTTATTTTATTTTTTTATTTTGTTGTTTAGGAGAAAAATGACCTGAAGCGTGCTGGGTTCATGCTTCAAGAAGCAGATAAACTGGGCTGCAGACAGTTTGTTACTCCTGCAGACGTGGTTTCGGGCAACCCTAAACTTAACTTAGCCTTCGTAGCTAATCTGTTTAACACATACCCATGCCTACACAAGCCTGATAATAATGACATCGATATGAATTTGCTGGAAGGTAGGCTCTTTCTGCCTTTAATTGATTTATTGTGTGTATCTGCCTGTGGTACTGTCTGACTTCACGGTCAGAGGTGGGAGAGTGTGGTGGGGGACAGTGTACTGTGTGTGGGCATGTGCACCCGTTAAAAAGTTAAAATGAAAGAAAGTGGGTGTTGGTTTTGGTTAAAAGAGTGTGGGGTAAATCTTACTTGTCTGTCATTTCTCTAGACATTAGTGAAAACTGTCAGACGTTAAAAATATTCTCTTAAATGACCACATAACATAACTCCACCACGAATATGGACAATGAATATGTATTGGAAAAAATAATTATCTGTAGCTTGTTTTCTCCTTCAAAAGCTACAGTTTGACTCCAGTATTGTTCTCTTTTTAATGTTCTTAGTGTACATGAAAAAATTCACAATATTCATTACTTGTCTTGTGTGTGGGCTATTGTTATCTGTCTCATAATTTATAATACTTTCCTATTTTGCTTCATGAAATGCAGATTTGACCCCTCCTAATGTAGGTACTGTATTTAGTACTTTCCTATACTCTCTATATATATTCATTCTGAATGTTCTTTTTATTAGTACCATTTATTCTTTCTGTCTCGGTTGATATTTATTTTTTGCATTGTTCATGCTGTGTTTTTCAGTCTTAATATGCCTAAAGAATGCACGATGACAGGCGAGAAACACGAGTGACACTTAACTAGACTGGCAGGGCAGGGCTCGGTTGTGCAGATTCTCCCCCCGAAGTGCCCTCTGTAATGACGGGCACTTTCTAGTGTAGTCGTAGACACCAGAGATCAGCATTCACAATTGGACTTCATGGTTTGATGTAAGGCCTTTATGCCTCTCCTATAAATAAATTTATCTTTTATCACAAGTAAATTTTGAAAGGATCTATTTAGGTTTTGTAACATAGATTATTTTGTATTACTTACCTCTGTTTCACTCACCGGATGTCAGTGAGCTTATAATATGTGCATCGTCACAGTGACAGACATTCTCAGGGCCTAGTTCTCATTATCTGCTTCCCAGCCTCTGTTCTTTCCTTCTCGGGCTCTCACCCTCCCGCTCACATGTACCAGAACCACATTAGTGTCAGCTGAAGGTGAGAACAGTGGCGGCAGTGGTGGCAGTTGTCAGAGGTAGGGCCAGCCCTAAAATATTCCCACTGGTTGCCCTGTTTGGAGAAGGTGGCCCTCAGGCAGGGGTGGCTGGTGGGGCGAATCTGAGGATCGGCGGTCACCACCCACGTCTCCCTTCTCCCTGGGAGGGGGGTGAGAAATCACTCTCACCATCGTCTTCCCTTTGACTGCCACAGCCAGAGTTCATTCCAGTGTCTTTGTCACTTTATAATTACAGCTGTTTTTTTATTAATTAAGAAGTTTCAGAGTTAACAAATACATTCTTTGAAGAATGTGATTAATTCCATTAATTCTTCCTGGGGTCCAGTACAATAAAATAAGGCCTGTCTCCTCTACTCACATAACCAGGGGGGAAGCTAGATTAACATGCAGAAGGTGCAGCAGAGAAATCTAGAATGAGAAATTGGAGCTTGAAAAAAATTAAATAAAAAGGAAGACTGCTAAGTTTTTATTAGCCTGGAAGATTTCCAAACCCCTTCGTGTCTTCCGTGGAAGGTGTTGTTTAGAGTGGCATATTAAAAACGACCTGCTTTTCACGGTCACCACGCTCCTGCTGGGTCCTTTCCCAACCTGCTTGTTCTCTCGTAGCGTTTGAATTCTCTCTCGTGTTCAGCATGCTTTTGGAATTTTTCAGTGTGAATCAGATTGCTAAATATTTCCATTAGTATTTGCTATATAAGAAGATACCATGGGAAATATTTATCAATCATCTTTATTTAGAACATATGTATGTCCTGATACATCTGCCAAAATGTATTTGACTTGAACTGTCATTGGAATTTTTTCCTCTGTGAATTTGTGTTTGTAGATCCATATGAAGTTTGAAGCTTGACCTTATCACATCCCATATTCATATATTAGTATCTCCTCATTTGGCAAAGAATTTTATCTATATGGAATTAAAGAAAATTAAAAGGCCAACCAAATATTAAACCTTCATGTTAAAATGAGCCAAATACGTAGGCTATGTATAGAAGTTCAGAATTCATTTGTGGTGATAGAAAATACATAGGCCACGGAATTATACTTTGTTCAATCATGGTTCCACCATTAGACATCTGAGTGACCTCTGCGAGCCTTGGTTTTCTCATATATAAAACAAGACCAGTAGACTTACTTTGAAGAATTACAGAGCAAGTTGAAATTGACCTTCCCTGAATGAGAGAGTTTAGCTGCCAGTATGTGCTCAGTGATGGTCAGGTAGGGAAGAAGACACTTAATGCAGCACTTACCACATTTAGTGAGTGTTAAACATGTTAGTTCCTTTTCTTTCATCTTAGTAGCCTATTTTTAATATATTTGTTATTTTTCATGAAACTTTTATCAATTGCAGATGTCAGTTTGACCTTGAAAATGAAAAGAATGTTTTATAGGTTTTTTTCTTTTATATCAGCAACTAAGATTTTACTTCTGAGCTGCTTTGGTCGTCTGCGTCTGGAGTACATATGTTTTTGTTGCGCTTTACCAAACCCTTGCACAAATGCAGAGTTCTGCTGGCTCTGAGCATGTACTTACCAAGGCAACTTGAACTGGTATTAGATAAATAACTGCTCACTTAAAAATCTGCTTTACTTTCCAGGTATCAAAAATTAAAATAAGAATGATACAATTAGCTGAGAACAAATGTGAACCTCTGAAACTTATACTTTAAGAACTCAGTCAAGGTTCAAGTTCATTGTCTTTTTAAATATTATACACTAAATTATCAGGTTCAGGAGAATTTAGATATTATTTTAATTAAAAATTAATTGTTACACTACCAATGTTTGTCATTTTAAAACATAATTTGGATTTTCAGAGATGGAAATAATGCAAAAATACTCTAATTACTAGAAAAAATGTATATACAGCAAAATAACAGATTGTAGAGAAACAACTAAAAGGTAAATCCAAGTCACATGCATCAAGCTGTTGATTATAGTATGTTTGTATTTAGTTACTTGGGGGAAAGTTCAGATTTTTAATTCGTACCTGTTTAATAACTCCTATAAAACGAGGCAAGCATGGTTTCTAGACTTACTTAGTTTCAATTGGTTCTTTTTAAAAAGGTTCTCATGTAGGCCGTTTATTATGAAGAGTGGTGGTGGCAGATACAACAGAATAATCAGTTGCCTTTTATGCAGACAAGAGGGGACAACATTTAGGCAAAAAAATTATATGGTTATATAATTTAATAGAGCAAGAATTTAGACAGATTCGGGGAAAGCCATTAGGTAATGGCATTGAGAACCACATGAAAGTACAGTGGGCAGATTACTTCCTGAACACGCGGAACAAAGAACAGACGCTTTAGAGTTTACAAGGCTTGGGCTTCTCCTCTGGACCTGCGGTTTACAATGTCTGTGCCCGCAGCGTGAAGATGACTGCAGGGATGGCTCTACAGGGGCCGGCCCCTGGACCCAGGCGGCTGTAGATTTATAGGCCAGATTGTCCTGGGACTCTCACCGGAGACAAAGTCTGGAGAGTGACTTGAACTTGCCTCGGTTTAGAAGTGATGAGAGGTGCACTGTAAATGCTTCATCTCTCAGAAGTCTGGTGATGAGATGCAGGCTAGGCCATTCCCTTGTCCCTTAACTTTGCTGAAAAACAAACGATTTTCTAGTCACTGAGGACTGTTTGCAGTCAGGGGATGAGTAGAGGCAGAAGGGGCAAGGAGGGCCCACGTCCCTCTCTGCTCACTTTGTTTTTGTAAACGATACCAGAAGGGAATGCTTAGGGAGTTTAGGTAATCACAGCTTAAAGAATAGTGCCTGCAGGAATTTCTCCTTGAGGTGGTCCTTTTGGTCTAGGGATTTACTGTGATGAAAAGTCTTTCTCTTAGCTCCCTGTATGGGGCTGTGCCCCTTAATGTATTTTCAATAGTGACAATCTAAAGTAACTCAAGAAGCCTGTAAAGCAGTTACATCCCCTCATTGCTTGTTTTTTTTCTTTCTTAATTTATCTTTATTGTTGAAAGTATTACAGATGTCTCAGTTTCCCCCCCATTGATCCCCTCCACCCGGCATCTGCCCTCTCCCCCTCCCCAGGCCTTCTCCACACTCTTGTCTGTGCCCATAGGCCATGCATATATGCATCAAAGTTTTTTGACTAATTGCGTGTTTTTATCTGACCTGTAATCCCATCTCCTTCATTGCTGTTTGGTGTAATTAAAATGTAGGTTTGTGTGCCCAGCAACTTTTCTGTGTAAAACCCTATCTATACAGATTTAGTAATGCGGAGTTGGAAACGGTACAGCTTTTCTATTTCTGTTTGATGTGCTAATACTACCCTGACTGCTTAAAGATTTTCTTTTATTAGTTTTTAACCATTTCCTTTGCATATAATTCTAACTCCAGATATGACCACATAAATTTATTAGTTACTTTTCTGGACAGAGAAACCCATGGCTCAGTAGTTCACAGACATCATGTAAGGAAATCTAGATGGAAAAATTTATAACAAATAGAGGCTTTCTAGACAGAAGGGAGAAAGGGACTTTGGCAATAAGAGATATTTTCCCCTAAAAATTTTGTAGTATCATAGGAACCATGGCAAAGTATTTATGGCCAGTTTGTACCTGCCTGGCTGGTTTGAAATGCGGTTCTTGATTCCTTTTGTCCTGAATCATCAGTGTGGACTTGTGTCTACTCTAGGAGAGAGCAAGGAAGAAAGGACATTTCGAAACTGGATGAACTCCTTGGGGGTCAACCCATACATCAATCATTTGTACAGGTAAACACTTTTGTTGTGTTTCAGCTTCATGGCTACAGTCCAACTTTTCTGGTTTCAAGCTATAGGTATGTTTACATGAGAACATTTTTTAAAAATCACAAGAATTTTAGCCAGTGTTTAGAGTTTCAGAATGCTGGGAATTGGCTATGGAATGGATTTTAAAAGAAAAGTATAGCATTTTTTAAAAAGATAATATATATTAGTTATAATTTTTGATGATATAAGCAATTTGGTAAAGATAATCCATCTTACTCTTATAGATAAGGAAAATAAATTATTTCCATTTAACAGATTAGAATAATAGTAATATTTTATAAATAGTTCTTATCATTGTATCAATATTTTTCATTATAAGTCACAGTTTATTTTGCCAGAACCATCAATCATGCCATAATTTGTTGTGTGTATTTTCTAATTCATAGAAATAACTTGTTTTCCCTAATTGTTATAATGTATCATATTCTTTTTTTTTTAATCCTTACCAGAGGATATTTTTTTCATTGCTTTTCAGAGAGTGGGGGGGTGAAGGAGAGAGAGAAAAACATGGATACAAGAGGGACACATCAATTGGTTGCCTCCTGCACGTGCCCTCCCCCACTGGGCCAGGGTTTGAGCCTGAAACCGAGATACATGCCCTTGGCCAGAATCAAACCTGGGACTCTTCAGTCCAAAGGCCACTGCTCTAACCATTTAACAATTTCTTAAAAATGACAATATGTTATTAACATTGGTAGGATTAAGAAAATATTGTACTGAATAATTTCTTGTGCTCTCTGTTGGTGCTAATAATAAAAATGAGTCTTTCTAGGTATGGCTGAAAAGGAAACCTTCCTTCTTTCTTTATTATAGGATCTACCAGCCTGACTCAAAAATGCAAAAGAACTAAACTTCAGCTCATTGTATATTTTTTAGAAAAAAGGCCTAATTAAGCCTATTAATAATTTGCACAGTCAGGGAAATGCCTTAATGAACGTTAACTAAATTATTATTTCAATCTGAACTGGAGATTAATGCCACAAAAGACCAAGTTCACTGGCTGAGAACTTATGATGGAGTAATTTCTGCTTCTTGGTGTATATTCAAAATATTCTTTAAAATCTAAAACCAGTAGTGCCTTATTATGGTAACTTGCTTTGATGTGATAGACTCATATTTGATAAACTTTTAAGGGTATGTAAGATCAGCTAAATGAGAAGAGATATATGTCATGTAGACCAGAACTCCTGCCATAGCAGCAGGGCAGTGAAGGACCCAGATACTGCAGGGGAGGAGCGGCTAGATCTTTAGAGACAGTAGGAATGTCTGCAATGTATAATTGAGAGAAAAAAATAATAGGGCTAGTATGATCCCAATTTTATTTTAAGATTGAGTATGTACATATTTGTGTGTGAATTTTTTAAAAGTCTAGAGGAATGAATACTGAACTGTGTGCAGCCTTGGCAGTAGTGTTGGGGGTTTGCAGAGACTTGTTTTAATCTTAGTAACATAAGTATGGTATTTTATTTTGTTTTGCTATTACAACGAGCATATATTTCTATTTTAATTAAAAAGTAAATTTAAAACTAGGGGGTTCAAATTTGTTGAGACTCATGGTGACGTGTTCATAATGGTCATGAACACTAGAGTTCTCAACGGCTGACAGTGGCGAAGAGAACTGACCAGATTTTTAAATTAAAGATTGTTTGTAGTTATATAGATCCTGAAATGCTAACACAAGCTTCTAGGCATATGTAACTTCTTCTTGGGAAAGAGAATTCAGAAAATTCTCAAAAGTCCTATAACCTATTGGAATACAGAAGAGCAACAGCTGGAGGTTCAGTTGCCATCCAACCATGTGCCCATGAATTTGTGTCCAGGTCATATTCCTAAACCCAGTAAGTGACTTTAGCTTCCCCCCCCCTACAGTATATCAAATGGGAACCAACCAAAGCATCAGAATAATTTAGATGGACCTTAGCTGACAGTTCTCTCCTCTAACAAATTATTAAATCTATTTTAAGAACTATTAGTTCTAGAATTTTCTGTGACAAGGTGGTTCTGGAACACACCTTGAACTCTCCGGAAATCATTTTAACTCTCTGGGTTTCAGTTTCTCTACTTGCAAAACATGAATAATAATAATACCATACTACAAAGAAATAATAATTCATTTAAAGTAAAAAAGAAAAATTTATGAAATAGATGAGATTCCAGAAGCCAGGTGCTTATAGATAACCTAGTCAGCTCTTAATTACATTCATAATAGACTCTCTCCCTCAATTGCTCAGCACAGGGTGGTGTGTGCTCACAGATGCAAAGTAACTTTAGTACGAATCTTAGCTAAACATAGCTCAGTGAACAAGCTGTTGAGAGAGAAAAGCCACAGTATACATCACAGACCTCGAAAGTTTAAGATCAATGGCTGTTTATGTCCTTAGCATACAGACTTGAAAACAGACTCAATAGACGTATTTTGAGCACTTAAAGAGAGTATGTTTTTCTGAATCCAAAGTAGTACTATTCTTACGCCAATAACTCCTACTTGCTCATAAGTTCCTTCCTCTTTTTTTTTTAAATGCTCACCTGAGGACATGGTTTTTCACTGATTTTAGAGAAAGGAAGGGGGGCTGAGGAGAGAGAGAGGGAGGGAGAGAGGAAGGTAGTGGGAGGGAGAGAGAAATATCGATGTGAGAAACATTGACATCAATTGACTGCCCCCCACACGTGCCCTGACCAGGAATCGAACCCGCCACCTTCTGTTGTATGGGATGACCGATCCACACCGGCCAGGGCAGATTCCTTGTAACACTTACTATTTAACATGAACAACTGCCTACTGAATAGCTATTGTGATTTTTCTGTAATTGTTTTAAAAAGTCTTAATAATTTTAATATATAAGCAATATATAGACTCCATTCCTATGGTACAAGTTTCCAGAAATAAGTATATAGAATAAAACAAAACGTGATCATCTGCCCCTTACCCTTCCCTGCCCAGAGATAACCACTATTAACAGCCCATGGACATAAAGGTACTTAAATACTCTTAATTTTGAAAAGAAATTTAATAAATAATAAACTATGCAGCGTTCTGCCATTTGCATTTTTAACGTAGTACGTCTTGTAAAGCTTTTCGTGTCTGTGCATAGAAATCTGCCTTATTAGGTCCTGTGGTGGCCCAGGAGCCCATGGTATGGATAGTTTATTCAGCAGCCTCGACTGCCTGATATTTAAGTTGCTTCCAAATGTATAAATACTATGGTGATGAATATCCTTGTACATACATATGTTTGTAAACATTGATGAAAACATTTTGGACCGATTTCTAGGTTGGAAGTTCTGGGTGGGATGATGTGTCCAGTCAGCCTTTAGGCGTTAAGTGAGCCTGTTGTATTTTTAAAGACATAAGTCGTCTCCAGTGTGTGTAATAAAATGAGGCGGTGCCAACGGTCCCCCTCCTTCATCGTCTTCCCCTCCTGTTCCAGTGATCTCGCGGATGCCCTGGTGATCTTTCAGCTCTACGAAATGATCCGCGTGCCCGTCAACTGGAGCCATGTCAACAAGCCTCCTTACCCTGCCCTCGGAGGGAACATGAAGAAGGTGAATGAAATAACAGCCTGGATATGCTTTTACTGTTCTGATATAAAACAGAGGGTCTCGAGTGTTTCAAAGTGTAGTGAAGTGTGGCCTGTTCCCACGGTTCTGATCCAAGCCAAACGTGCTAGGCGGAGTGGCCTTTCCAGGGTGCCTCAGTGAGCAGAAGGACGAAGGCGGCTTCCCCAGCCAGACGCTGCACAGACCGTCCGGTCTTCAGCAAGTCCCAGCACTTACTGTTCTTTGAGATGCATCATAAATGCATTTTATTTTATAATCGCCAAAACTTGCCAAATCTTTACTGCTTATTTGTTAACATTTTTCCACATATATTTATTGATTATTTGTACAGGGCAATGCAAGATATAAAATAGTGCAAGGCATGGAGTAGGTCCTCAGGAAGCCTTAGGAAGTTAGGGAGACATACGTACAAACAGCTGCGGCACGGCACAGTGCACACAGCAGCGGATCTGGTGCTTTCTAAGGAAGAAGAGGCTGCAGGCTGCACGTGTCATGAGCGGGTTCACGCAGGAGGTGGCTTTTGAGAAAAGGAGAGAATTTTGTCAGGAGACCGGGAGGAGGGGCCGAGGGTCAGGAAGAGGGAGAGAGATGGGGAGTATAAAGTATTTCGGTGTGAACACTAAAAGTTGGGGTTGCAGCCAGAGCCTTGAATGCCAGATTAAAGAGCTTGGGTTTTAAACTACAAGCAGAAGAAAGCCATGGAATATTTTTGAGCAGGGTAGTGACGTGATCACAGTTGGTGGGAGAATACCTGGCAGATGAACAGTGGAGAGAAGTGCTCATCTCCAGAATTCTCCATCCTCCAGTGGGGATCCGCGCTGTCCTTGTCAGTGTGGCCATGGTGAAATTTACCTGCATTCTCATGATTTAAAAACGGTCTCTAGTTGACTAAACGGAAATATAACCATATTCCTGGTCAGAAAGACTAAATATTATAAAGATACTAAATTTTTGCGAATTAACTTTTAGGTGGGAAATAATTCCAGTTAGAATTCCAAGAACTCTCCTTTTGTATATATGTGTGCATCTGTATGTATGTGTTGGGGGATGGGATTTATAGAGTAATTCTAAAGTTCCTCTAGAAGAAACAGGCCTACATCATTAAAAAAATATTTTTAAGGATATAGAGGGAGGAGCTGTTAGAAAATATTTTTTAAATTACCATAAGGCTAAAGTAATTAAAATAGTTTAATATATATATAAGAATGGAATGGAATAGAGTAGCCTAGAAAACTATCCTAAATTACAGGAACTTAATGTATGACAAGGTGCCTGCTAAAGTCGGTAGGGGAAGGAAAGATCATCCAAAAAATGATGCCAAAACAACTGGTTAACTATTTCCTTAGGGAAAAAAGTGATCTTCACCATATATCATCTACCAAGTAAATTTCAAATGGATTAAAGGTAAAGACTTAGAGGGTTAAATATAATAAATAACACTTAAAAACAGGTGAATGAGACAAACAAGTGCTGGTGAGGATGCGGAGAAAAGGGAGCCCTCGTGCACTGCTGGTGGGAATGCGGACTGGGGCAGCCACTGTGGAAAACAGTGTGGAGGTTCCTCAGAAAATTAAAAATGGAGCTGCCTTTTGAACCAGTGATTCCACTTCTGGGTATTTATCCAAAGAAACCTAAACCCTAATTTGAAAGAATATATACAGACCTAAGTTCATTGCAGTGTTATTTACAGTAGCAAAGATTTGGAAGCAACCCAAGTGCCCATCAGTAAACGAGTGATAAGGAAGCTGTGGGACATTCACACCATGGAATACTACTCAGCCATAGAAAAGAGTGGAATCCTACCGTTGAACATCATGGGTGGACCGAGAGGGTATTTTGCTCTGTGAGATAAGTCAGTCAGAAAAGGACATATACCACATAAGTTCACTTATATATGGAATCTAAACAAAATAAATGAACAAAAAAGTTGAAACAGACTCACAGACACAGAGATTGGACTGGTGGTTGCCAGAGGAGAAGGGGATTGGGGGCCTGGGGGACAGAGGTGAAGGGATTAATTAGTACAGATTGATAGTTACAGAATGGTCATGAGAATGTAAAGCACGGCATAGAGAATATAATTAGTAATATTGTAATAACTAAGTATGGTGCCAGTTGGGTATGGAAATATCAGGGGGAACACTCTGTAAAGTGTACAATTGTCTAAGAATTTAATGACTTAGACTTGATCTAGGACAGTTGGGCAAGGTTGGCAAATTTTTGGATTAAGTCACCTGCTATGTGGTAGTTAAACTGATGTTTTTATGAGGTATATATAAGGCACATGGTCAAAACTTGTTATTATACTGAATGTAAACTAATTGAAATATAAAAAGTAAATGTCATTAAAGCTGCAAAAAAAGAATTTAGTATGAAGAATATAAGTGAAGGTTGTGTTTAGCATTTACAACTCAAACTATGAAGCAATGTGCTATTTTTTTGTGCTTTTTTTATAATTAAAGTCTACATGTATAGACAAATTTTAAAAGGTGAATGATTATCTACTCTTGGAGTGATAAAGAAATTACAAAGAAAAAGAAGATATTGTAGATTACATATAAATTTTAAACATATGTGTACAAAAATAAATACCATAAACAAAATTAAAAAGTAAACAATAAACTTGGAAACATTTGCAATAAATATGACAAATAGTTAATATCCTTACATGTAAGTAGTTCATACAAACCCATTTCTAAAACTGACTGCTGCTACTGAAGTTATAGCAGCAGAGGACACAGAAGAACCTGGGTGAGCAGTTTACAGAACCAGAAGTGAAATGGACACATGAGCAGCGTTTCATCCACAATAAAGAAACGCAGCTTCAAATGGGAAACAGCTGGATCACACTGCATCCGATGTCCGGGGAAATGTTCGTCTGTATGCCCTTTCTAGATGTAGCTTGGTGTTACAGATCAGTAATCTTGAAAAAGTCCTTTGATTTGATTTCACTTATCCATTCTGATGAAATGATCGGAAAGACAGGGAGTTGCCGGAATCCTCATCATAGCAACACTTACAGAGCAAAAAAGCAAAAGCAGTGTAGTTGCTCCATAATGGGCTAACAAACTAGGATATACCCGTAAGATGAAGTAAAATGTACCATAAAATAGCATTTTTAGTATTTTACTATCAGTGACATGGAAATGAGCAGGATAAAAAATGGCATATATATATGAATCTAATTTGTTTAAAATACACACAGAGACGTGCATTCAAAAAGGACTTCTGTTCTTCTGATCTCTAGAATGAATATGTATTTATAGTCTATACTTTAAAAAAAACTTTTTAAAAATAAGACAAAGGAAATGTATCATAATATTAAAATTAGTTAAATGAATAGTATGATTTTAAGAGATTTGTTTTCATATTTTTCAGTACCTCTAGTGGTTGGGCTTGCCTACATTTAAAATTTTATTTTATTTGCCTACAGTTCTAATCATGGAAGTAGAATTCGGAAAATGTTAACAGGAAAACAAAAATGGAATCCGTGATTATCCCTGGACTTTTTAATGTTAATTATAAGGTGTCACAAGTGAATCATGCGTAGGGTGCTTCGTTTAACAAGTCCTAGCTGTTTGCAGAGCGACGCGTAAGGCCTGGTGTGCGCTTGGGGCGCTCGGGAAACAGGCCGCGCTGCCGGGCCAGCGCCTCGGCCGAGGCGTTC